CGGCTGCAGCTGCGACGGCGGCGGTGACAACGGCTGTGGCTGCAACGGCTGCGGCTGCGATGTAGGACCACCTGAGTCAGCAGACTCCTCAACCGGGACAACCGACGGGAGGGGGGTAACGCGAGACCCCGGACGGGGCAGGGCGAGGAGGACGGGGGGCAAGGGCAACCAGGGGGGGGGGGCACCAGGAACAGGGGGGGAGGAACTGGGGGACCACGGTGGGGAAAGCGGTGGTAGAAGGAGGCGGATCCGTCAAAGGTGACATCGCAAGAGTAAAACAAACGGTGGGACTGGGGATGGTAGAAGTGCCAGTCAGACGAGTTTAGGGGGAAACCTAAGAAGACACAGGGGAGTGTGCGGGCAGTGAGCTTGTCCATGCCAGAGGCACGGACGTGGGCAAGGCAGCCCCAGACGTGGAACGCAGACGCGTCACCAGGAGACCCGGTCCAAAGAAGGGTGCGGCCACAGGTTAAGCTGGTGAGCGACGTAGCGAACGGCGAACGGCCACAAAAAATGAGGTGCACCGTCATGGATCATGGAGGTGCGAGCCACCTCCATGACCAGACCGATGCGTCGCTCAGCGACCCCATTCTGCTACGGGGAGTCTGGCAAGGTGAACGTCTGGGTGATGCCCTCCGCACGACAGAAAAGACCAAGGGAACCTGAGGCGAACTTGCCACCGTGGTCAGAGTGGAGACGCAACACAGGGAGACCGCGGTGCACACGCTGAGAGACAAGCCACGGGATAAGAGCATCAGGCATGTCGGCCTTCCGCTCTAAGGGAAACACGGTGGTGTAACGAGTGTAGTCGTCAACAAGGACGAGGAAGTAATGCTCACGACGCGGCCCATGGACAGGGGCAGGGCCCCAGATATCCATGTGTAAGGTTTGCAAGGGTGCAGTGGTGGGGGTGAACGAGGAGGAGTGAGGGGTACGGCGGAGCCGGCCCTTGACGCAGGGGGTGCACGGTGGTGTGGGTGAGGAGGGGAGCGCGGATAACGACCCAGGAGACCTAAGACAAGACCGTGCTGCGACATGTGACGAAGACGAGGGAGGGCAGGGTGACCTAGACGGTGGTGCCACAGGAGTGTCGGGTGAGTAAGGGACCGACACGAACAAGCCGCAGTTACCTAGGGAGAAACAACCACCTGGGGAGACGTCCCAACCGGGGGGGACGCGGTGCCCAGGGTGAATAGGCCAGGCACCGGGTCCCGGTGGAACGTGGTGAGCAGGGCACATGAGACGGCCTCGGTACAGACAGCCAAGGTCTTGGAGGCAGCCGACACCAACTAGGTTCCTACAGAACAAGGGGATGAGCAGGCTTGTAAGTGAGCCCAAAGGAGCCACCGGACAGGGAAGGGTAGTGGAGCTACGAGCTACAACCGGGGCTGAGGAAGGGTCAAATAGGTAGACTGCGGTGGGAGAAGCAAGCGGCATGAGAGTAGTGGAGTCCCGGAAGAAGCACTGGGAAGCGCTGGAGTCCAGAATGAAGGAAAGCGCAGCAGAGGCAAGAGGGGTCGAGGAAGCGACAGAGGAGCCTAGACTAAACAAAGCAGGAGATCCTACGCCTGACGCAGCAGGGGAGTCTAAACTAGGCACTCCTACACAAGGCAGCACGAGGTAAACGGAATCAATCACACTAGAGTCATCGACATACAGAACATACAGCGCGGAGCTAATCTCATCCATGTCCATATCAAAGACTTGAACACCCCGACGAAGCAATTTGAGCCAGTCGGGGAGGTCGGGCGCCGGGCCGAAGCGAAGTCGAAACAGGTCGTCAAGGCGACTGAAACAGCGAGTGATGGTGTGACTGGTCTTACCGCACACGAGGCCACGGCGAGGACCGGTCTGAATCTAGTACTGGCAGCGCCCGTCGCCACGCCGCACGCACGACCACTGCGACCGCCACCACCACCAACGCCGGGCCACCCAGGCGGGAGACGACCAACCTGCCGCTGCGGCTGCTGTTGCTGCTGCTGCTGCGACTGCTGCTGTTGCTGCTGCTGGGACGGCTGCTGGTCGAGGGAGGGGACCTGCTGCTGCTCGGCGGTGCTAGGCCCAGGGCCCTCGTCAGCACCCCCAGGGGGCAACCCGGCTCCACCACCTCCTCCACCCCAACCACCACCACCGCGCCCAGCCTTGGGGCGGCGGCCCTTTCCAGGACGGGCCTGCACTGCAGCGGCCGTCTGAGCCACTGTGGCAGAGCCGTCAGAGAAAGTGCGCTGAGCGGGCGCACAGCCCTGAAAGATAGAGACCGGCACGGTACCGCTGGACAGAGCGATAGAGCGCTGGCGGGTCTCTATGGCAGATAGGGTGTCGACAAACTCAGTGAGAGTGAGCTCTACGTGGTGGAGACTAAGAAAGTGATCGCGTGCAGTGGCAAGGCGGTCAGGGAGGCGGGTGGCCAGCAGGTAGAGGGCATGCCTAAGGGGGGGCGGAAACACAGAGAGCTGGGCCTCAGTGCAGGCCGAGCGCCAGGTCGAGTCTAGCGTGTGCAGGTGGGCGGCTAGGTCAGCGACAGTGGGGAAAGACGCGAGATCAGGGAAAAGCAGGGGCAAGATCAGGCGGCCGACGGAGGCAGAGGACGGCGTGGCATAGCGAGCAATGACAATATCGAGAAACTCTTGTGCGGTCCTGACTGACCTAAAGCGGGGACGCTCAGACAGGGGAAGCACATGACTGATGGCAAGCTGGGCAACAACGTCACGCAACAACCAAACCGAGCGTGCAAGGGCAGCAGCTGCAGCGGACTCTCGATCAGCAAGCGTGGGGTCAGCGGGCAGCGGAGCGAGGAGGTCAGGACATGGGAGCGTACCGTCAAGGTGGACGACCAAGGAGTGGCTGTCTTGCCGCTGGCCTGTGAGGTGACGGCGGAGGACGACGAGCCACGTGTCGAACTCAATCGGCTGACCCTCCGCGTCAAACCGCAGCACAGAGTCCGCCATCACGAGCGATGCAGCAGCGGTGCAATGCGATGCAGTGTGGTGCAGCGTGGCGCAGTGCGGTACAGTGCAGTGCAGTGCGGTACAGTGCTGTGCAGTATGGTTCCAGGCAGTGCAGTCGGGCGGCAGGGCCAGGCGCGGAGACGACTACGGTCGGGGGCAGGGGCCGGCAACGAAGGGGCGCAGGGCCGATGACGGACGGGCGCGGGGCCGGGGAACGGACGGGCGCAAGCCAACTACTAGGGGGGCGCGGGGCCGGCCACGGGGCGAGCGCGAGGTCGGCTACGGGGCAGACGCGGGGCCGGCGACGGGGCGGGCACGGGGCCGGTGACGGGGCAAACGCGGGGCCGGCTACGGGGCGGACGCAGGGCTGGTTACGGGGCGGGCACGGGGCCGGCGACGGGGCGAACGCGGGGCCGGCTACGGGGCGGGCACGAGGTCGGCTACGGGGCTGGAACGGGGCCGGCTACAGGGGGGACGCGGGGCCGGCTACGAGGCGGACGCGAGGCCGGCTAGGGGCGGACGCGGGGCCGGTTACGGGGCGAACGCAGGGCCGGCTAGGGGCGGACGCGGGGCCGGCTACGAGGCGAACGCGGGGCTGGCTAGGGGCGGACGCGGGGCCGGCTATGAGGCGAACGCGGGGCCGGTTAGGGGCGGACGCGGGGCCGGTTAGGGGCGGACGCGGGGCCGGCTACGGAGCGAACGCGGGGCCGACTAGGGGCGGACGCGGGGCCGGCTACGAGGCGAACGCGGGGCCGGCTAGGGGTCGACGCGGGGCCGGCTACAGGGCGAATGCGGGGCCAGCTAGGGGCGGACGCGGGGCGGGCTACGGGGCGGGCACGGGGCCGGCTACGGGGCGAACGCGGGGCAAGCTACGGGGCGGGCTAGCTAGGGGGAACGGGGCCAGCTAGGGGGAACGGGCGGCTAGGACCTAGGGCGGAAGCGCTGGTGGGCGGGGGGACCTAACCTACTCATGATACCATGTTAGAATAGAAGAATGAAACTAGGAGTGAGTACAAGGGTACATAGGCTAGTGTGTTGTACCCTCGAAGGCACAAACCTAAATTGTCTATACCAACATACTAAGATATGTTTGACACTACCAACCTCTCAATTATATATAACTTATATAATTTAACAGATGTGGCCAATAATTTCTAGATCTGAATTCAGGCTTCTCACTCTCTCAAGATGATTCCTCTCCCGAACCTCATCCACCTTGACGGCTGCGCGCAGCTCCTCCCTCCCCGCCACGGCATTCCTGACGGCCTGTAGCTCGTTTGCAATATCGGCCATGCTGGGCCGACTGGCCGTGCGCTCCACCGTGCAACTCACTGCCAGCTGTGCCAGGCGCAGCAGCGCATCCTCTGGGGCGTCCATGTTGGGGTTCTTCAGGCGGGCCACAGCCCCCATGGAGAGACACTCCTGCACCTGAAAGAGTGGTGGGGATCGAGAAGAAAAGCGGTTGGGAAAAGGACGAGGCAGATGTGTGAGGGGTGTAGCGAGTGGCGGCGGGTTTTAAGTTGACTCAAAAGCAGTAGAGCATCCTTTGGGACGTCCACGCTGGGGCACTTCAGGCCAACGACCCCGTGGATAGACGCTGCTGCAACTGAAGGATTACGTGAGGAATCTATTTTTGAGGTGCCTAAAAAATGGACGCTCCTGCACCTGAAGGATTGCAGAAGGCCGGGAAAGGAGCGAGAGCGGTTGGGAGTAAGAGACAAGTGCTGCGCTTAAAGCCGGTGGCCCAAAACATGCAAGATTATTAATCATGACCAGGCAAAAAGTGGGGCCAGGCAGCCAGCACGGGCGTAGAGCAGTGGTGCGAGGTGACGAGTGCACTTCACCAACGAGCGAACGTTGCAACACCATACGCGACAAGTACACTTTTGACGAAACCGCATAAACCAATCAGGGTGCCAAATAATCGAGCAAGCAAAACCACTGCCAATAAAAAAGGACAGAAGAGGAAGGGTGGGGCGGAAAAGGCACTGAGGGGTGAGGGGGGCGGGGCCGTGGGGGGTGGGGAATGAACACCGAAAACAGCAGGAAGGCAGGACATGTAAGGGCGTGGTGGCTTTGGCAAAATCTGGGTTGCGCAACTTGGCCGAGTTGTAGAACCTGAGAAAGTAACGCGTTTTGGCAATTTCGGTCAACACGGGAAACAGTTGACACGCGAGCACCACCCCCAGCTGATTCCGCCCCTCCCCCCGATACACCAGGCGTTTGAGCGGAAAGAAACTTGAAACATGCACGCATACATTTTGGGACTTTTGAAGTGCATAACTCAGCCCAGCGCCACTACACCAAGGCAGCGAAAGCACCACATACAACACACGACCCTTGTTGACCATGGTGGCTTAGGGCGTGGTACTTCAGCAATTTCGGTCAACGGCTTTAAGGAGGTGGGGCGAGTAGCCGGCCCCCGAGCAGACCAAGGCCTTTAAGCAGCCTCTGTTTTGTTGTTGAAATGAAAAGGAAAAAGGTACTTATACAAGCTAGAGTGCCTTTAGTTGGTGCAGAGTGCTAGGTTGGTGCCGCGTGCTAGGTTGGTGCCGCGTGCTAGGTTGGTGCCGCATGCTAGGTTGGTGCCGCATGCTAGGTTGGTGCCACATGCTAGGTTGGCACTTACCCAATGTAGAATGTGCGTTCTCTCCCCCCCAGTCTCAGTAATCAAAATACGTTCGATGAGGACCACAAGGATGAGCACTCCAAAGCTGCAGAGGGAGAAGAGAGAGATATTGTGGAAAAAGCATGGTGACCCATCATGGCAGTCAACCTTGAAATTAATTAATAATAATAATAATAAAAAACCTTCATCTTGCCAATGTTGCGATGAGTGGGAAAACACACACTGGAATTTCAGCCAACTATCTAAAACTTATGCACCCTATTTTCCCAACTATTTCGGACAATGCTACATGCATGTGCGCCATGCATGACTAACAAGCAAATCGTTGATAGAATAGGAGGGCTCAATTGTACTCGGCAAAAAAAGCAAAGCAAAACAAAACAAAACCATTCGGCTAGTAGTCTATGGGCATCCTTTCAGAATCTCAAGTACCTGTAAACATCAGTGGCAGTGGTTGCTTTCGATGTCTCAGAGTAAATAGGATCCACAAAGCCCGGCGTTCCCATCACTCTAGTAGGCCCCACCGTGGTGCCTTCTCCCTCCCTCACCAGTCCAAAATCAGCAATCTTGGCCTGAAATATAGACAGATGGGCCATTGAAAGAACCACGAAGGTACAAAGAATCTAGGACACATCATGCCACACACCATGTACCGTGCACATGAGTGGATGGTCCTCCTAATTCTTGCAAAGAAATTGGGAAAAAGGGTATTTCGATCCACGGGCGGTGGTTGACAACAGGGACAGTTTGTAAGGTGCTTGTTGTGAGAGGTGCTTGCTGTGAGAGGTGTTTTTTGTGAGAGGTGCTTGTTGTGAGAGGTACTTGTTGTGAGAGGTGCTTGTTGTGAGAAGTGCTTGTTGTAAGAGGTACTTGTTGTGAGAGCTTGCCTGCATGTCGGCAGTGATGAGAACGTTGGCTGGCTTGATGTCGCGATGCACAAACCCAAAGCTGTGGAGGTACTCCAAGCCACGGGCCGCACCGATGAGAATGCCCAGCCGCTGAGCCAGGGTCAGGGAGAAGGGCGCCTCTGCATCAGGCACACACCACGAAGCACACGGCACAAAGCAACAGTATGGACTAGAATGCGTGAGATATGTCATCTGCACCAAGGAGAAACAATATGCAAGTGATGAAAGTAGGCATACTTGGTTCGATCCATCCACTTTTCGAGGTCAAATTTTGAGGTGCTTTTAAAAAAATATTGTTGGATCCATCCACATTTGAGGTTCGTTTCAATCATTCTTGCTGGGTCCTTCCACTTCTAAAAAAAACTTGTTGGATTCATTTACCTTTCGAAGTTGAGGCGCCTCAGAAACTCACTTGTTGGATCCATCCACCTCTTGAGGTCTCCATTGGGCACAAACTCGTACACCAGGACTTGCTCCAGCCGCGTCCTCATGTCCCCCCCCACCGCAAACCCCAGCAGGCGCACAATGTTGGGATGGTTCTTGTCAGCCATCTGCTGGATCTGGGAGTAAAAAATAAGAAGAAAATAGAAATGGCACACAAGACACCTTTTGGCAAGAGCTCGTAGGTCAGAACTTGCTCCGGCCGCGTCTGCATGTCACCTCCAATGGCAAATCCCAGCAGGCGCACAATGTTGGGATGGCTCTTGTCAGCCATCTGCTGGATCTGGGAGTAGAAAATAAGAAGAAAATAGAAATGGCACACAAGACACCTTTTGGCAAGAGCTCGTAGGTCAGAACTTGCTCCGGCCGCGTCTGCATGTCACCTCCAATGGCAAACCCCAGCAGGCGTACAATGTTGGGATGGCTCTTGTCAGCCATCTGCTGGATCTGAACGGGTGTCGTGAAAAACCACGCAGGAACAGAGAGAAGAAAGCAGGAGACGCAACAGGGAATGAGAAAGAAACAACCATCTTCTGGCCCTGAATGGGTGGAGCTGAAAAACAGAGAACAGAGAACAGAGTGACAGAAACAGCAGAAACGATGGAAAATCAGGAGCAGAGTAGAATAACCAGAGCCCTTTCATGATTCGCCTCCTCGGTTTGATTTAATTTGTGAAAGTGAGATGCACGTTAAAGGCTACTATGGGTTTAGGTTGCAGCCTACTAAATGGAACGCAGCAGGCATATTAATGCATACATGTATATATGTACATATGTATGTATGTACGTACATATATACATATATATACATTTACGTATGGATACATAATCCAGCCATATCATCTTGGTTGCGTCACTGACCTCCCTCCGGAATTGGGCGTCTATGAGCTTGGCGCGCTTCACAGCCCACTGTGTGGTGCCATCGCGGGGAGACACGCCCTTGTACACATCGCCGAAGCCCCCCGAGCCAAGCTGGTTGTCCTCGGACCAGTGGTTGGTGGCCGCCACCACTTCAGCAAGAGAGAACTCAGTGGACACTGCCATGCTGCCCGGCGCGGCTGCTTGCAGGGTGGGTTGTGAGGGGTGCAAGATGAAAGGCCGAAAGGCACATAGACAGTATGCCATAAGTGCTTTTTGAGTCGACTCAAAAGTCACCTCATAAGTGCTTGCTCAGTGCTTGCTCAGTGCTTGCTCAGTGCTTCCTAAGTGCTTGCTAAGTGCTTGCTCAGTGCTTGCTAAGTGCTTGCTAAGTGCTTGCTAAGTGCTTGCTCAGTGCTTGCTAAGTGCTTGCTGCCGTGGCGCAGAGGAGAAGAAAATGACGACGAAGGCGAGGAAGAAATGCATTCGGATAGAGAAGGCTTAGGCGAGTGAAGGATCATATGCATAGGGGGGGGAGGAGCGCATGGATTAGAGCAGTACGACCTGTGTAGTGTGCACCGCCAACGTCACAGGGTTTAACAGCACAGGGTTTAACGACACAGGGTTTAACGGCACAGGGTTTAGCGCCACAGGTTTTAACAGCAAAGGATTTAAAGGCGCATGGTTTAATGTTGCAGGAATTATAATCGCAGGGTTAAACATCACAGGCAGTTTAATGCCACACCTTCCTACCTACCTTTGGGCCTCTGCTGCCTCCTGTGCCGGAAGCAGAGCAGCACAGCAGCCAGCAGCAGTGGGAGCACGACGACGGCAGCAATAGCCACGCCAATGATGCCTATCAGCGGCAGGCCACCCGCACCCCCATCAGACGCTGGGTTTGCAGGTGGTGACACCGCTGGCGTTTGCTGGCTGCCGTTGCTGCTGCCGGTGGTGCTGTTTGGTCCCACAGCCAGTGGTGATGGTTCCGCTGGGGGGAGGGTTTGGGCGAAAGTTGGAGGCAGGCAGCAGTCCTGTGGGCTATGCCAAACGCATGTGGATACCCACCATCCAGAAGAGTTGGATGGTTTAGGCACCTAAGAAAACCACTCAGAACATGTGTATACACGCACATGCACCATGCAGAGCAGGCGAACAGACGGAAATCGACAATGGAGTGAGAGAGCAAAGATTCCATCCGCCAGCAGCACTATTCTGCTACTTTGAGATGTGTGGGTCACTTTTCTGCAGCTCCTTGGAATCTCTGGGCTACTTTTATGCCCCTCTGCCCCTTTGAATATCCATGCCTATTTGAATCTCATGCATGTTTCCTACGCGTGTTTCATTCAATCGGGTAGCTGTCGCCAGCAAGGGCTTGTCACAAATCAATGGGGCAGCACTGGCAATATTTGTAATCAGCGCAGCACAGCTGAAAGACCGAGATAAAATCAGCACACATCGCAGCGGTGGCGAGCAGTATGCGCTTGAGCATAAACCCGACCCGACTTTGCCCTACCCGGCAACAGGTTCACGTGCTGCTCGCCTGTTGGCTGTTGGCAAGTCGCCCATATTCTACTTCACAGGCGCCTCAAACAATAGATGCGCTCACCTGTTGGCTGTAGGCAAGTTGCGCAAAATGTTTTGCACGTTTGGCAGAAGGCTGTTAATGAAATCTGTATCTGAACACAGCTGGTCTGGTCAGCCGGACATGTGAGCATTGTCTCGCTGGTGTCGCTGCATGGAAACGAGATGGGAGAGAAATGGGATGTGAGAAATGGGATGTGAAAAATGAGATGTGAGAAATGATAAATGAGAAATGAGACGTGAGATTGGTGGTGAATCCAGAGCAACGGAAAAGAAAAGAAAGAGGTCTTCACCTTCTGGAGTGGCAAATCCAGAGCTTGCAACGAGCTGACATGCACAGTCACATGATCACGATTCAACAGCATTTCAGGTAATTTTGAGCCGAGATTCACTCATGCAGCTTTGCAGTGGAGTATTGCATTGCAAGGGGTATCTTGAGTCAACTCAAAATACCCCGTGCAGTTGACGATCGCCCCCAACGAGATGGGAGAAATGAGATGTTGACGATCGCCCCAATCCATGGAAGTAATCAGATGTGGTAAACAGAGCCAAGTATTCAGAGTTAGGCATGGTTAAAGTGCTATGCGATAAAACCATATCTATTCAGAGTTGACTCAAAATACACCTTGCATTTCGGAGTGGTGTGAAGTGAATCATACATGACAAGAGATCATTCTGCACCGTTTATGTTGACCTTGTGCCACGGACGTATTCAGATGCGGCATAAACACAGAGGCGGCACAAGGGTTCAGTGGTGTGAGGCGGCATGCTGCTTCGATCCAAAGCATGTGACAGCCAGCACAAGGGTTTAGTTTGGGGTTGTCAAGCCAAGCAATCACTTCCCCTCCAAAGGTGAATTTTGAGTCGACTCCAAAGTAAAAACAGAGGCGGCAAGATGCTTCAATTCAATGCATGTGACAGACAGCACAAGGGTTTAGTTTAAGGTTGTCAATTTTGGCAATCACTTCCCCTCCAAATCTTCTGAGCACTCCAACCAACCCTCCCGCTGGCCAATGTTTGCCAAGTTGACAAGTCAGGGTTCCGTAGCACGTAAGTGAGATCCCAAGGATCGTCACTCATTGGAGGAAGAGCTGCAGCGTGGAGTTTCTGTTAGCAGAACGCTTTTGAGTCGACTCAAAAGCGTTGGCCAATGTTTGCCAGGTTGACAAGTCAGGGTTCAGAATAGGCTCTTGAGTCAACTCAAAATCAATTGCCGAGTTCACAAGTCAGGGCTCATAATCTGCTCAGCGCTGGAGGCGCGCGGGGTTGTGTGTAGGCAGATGGCTCTTGAGTCGTCTCACAGGGTTACTGATCGCTTCTGTTCTGATCACTTCATTGCTGGTTGGGCCTCGACTGCCTGGTTGCCGACCCCACCAACAATTGAACGGTCCAGAAGTACTTCCAGAACGCACAACCAGCCAGTGCTTCGTGTCTAAAGCTTACAGTAATTGCAGGAAGAAGATCCTCCCAATGGTGGGTGGTATCGGCCCAGAGAGGTTGTTCCGCTTGAATGTCCTGCATGCACATCAACAGGCAATGCGATTGCTGGCTGCATTGATTGATGATAATCAGATCTTGAGTCGACTCAAAAGTGATAATAACGGTGTTATGAGTCGACTCAAAAGTGATCATAACGGGGTGTTATGAGTCGACTAAAAACTGATAATAACGGTGTTTTGTGTCCAACTTAAAACGCCCAGCGAGGATGTTCCCGTTGAATTCCTTGAAAACATATCGGCAAGCGATTGCTGGCTCTGCCAGCCAGCATTGAATTCTTGGGAGATGTGCCATTAGACTGAAATTGCCACAGACTATTATGCTGTCAGCGCAATCGGCATTTATACTGAAAATTGCACACGACACTTCTGCTGACAACGCAGTTGCCTGCCATCATACTGACAGAGTTTGCAGGCTGGCCATGCTGCCAATGCTGGATGGAACTGCCTTTTGAATGGAGAATGCAACTGACATTTATACTGAATTGCTCTTGACAATTCTGCTGACAACGCAGTTGCCTGCCATCATACTGACAGAGTTTGCAGGCTGGCCAGGCTGCCAATGCTGGATGGAATGGGCCCGCTTAAGTGATTCCCGCTTAAGTCCCTGGTGGGTTGTGAGGGGGAAAGCTAAGCGCATGATCAGTTGTCGTTCCATTACCATACACACAGACAGGGACTCTGGTGATTTTTTAGTCGACTCAAGAATCACTTGGTCAATCTTTAAGTCCCTGATGACAGCCAATGACAGCCAATGACAGCCAATGACAGCCAATGACAGCCAATGACAGCCAATGACAGCCAATGACAGCCAATGCCAACCAATGACAGCTCCAGCCGGATGAGAGATCGTTTAGAATTCTAAAAAATCTGCCATTGCGATGTTTTACAGATTAGCGGTACACACTTCTATATCCAATCCAGTATCAAGGCGCTGAGCTGCTGCGTGCGTGTAATGTTATGAAGCACTTAGTAACATTTCAGGATGTTCGAGTAATTTTTAAGTCGACTCAAAATTTTATACTGAATTGCTCTTGACACTTCTGCTGACAACGCAGTTGCCTGCCATCATACTGACAGAGTCTGCAGGCTGGCCATGCTGCTAATGCTGGATGGAATGGGCCCGCTTAAGTGATTCCCGCTTAAGTTCCTGGTGGGTTGTGAGGGGGCAAGCTAAGCGCATGATCAGTCGCCGTTCCATTACCATACACACAGACAGGGACTCTGGTGAATTTTTAGTCGAATCAAGAATCACTTGGTCATTCTTTAAGTCCCTGATGACAGCCAATGACAGCCAATGACAGCCAATAACAGCCAATGACAGCCAATGATAGCCAATGACACCTACATCCAGCCTGATGAGAGATCTTTTAGAATTCTAAAAAATCTGCCATTGCGATGTTTTACAGAATGGCAGTACACACTTCCAGATCCAATCCAATATCAAGGCGCTGAGCTGCTGCGTGCGTGTAATGTTATGAAGCACTTAGTAACATTTCAGGATGTTCGAGTGGGTATTCCGCTCTAGCAATGTTGACAGCCGTTCAGCTGTGCTTGTAAAGTGAGGACAATCCAGATTTCCTGCAAGTCGTTCTGAATGCATTTTACGAATTCTAGGGGGGAGGGGGGGGGGGGGACTGTCTGTAAACGGGGGAAAACGAGGCGAGATGTCACATGCCACTTTGCTCCAGAAGAAACAGCATGTTTTCATCTCAGCATCAGCATCAGCATAAGGACGAAACCACTCCATCGGCTTACAAGCTGTTCAAGAAAGAGAGACTTCCAATTTCGGCAGGAATGGAGCCTGTTAAACTATTGTTGCTGATTTTCCTGGGCACAGTTGCAAGTGGTGTGGGTGGGGCGTTTGGGAATGGTTGGCACACGGCGGAACACGAAAAGGACGAGCACTGTTTGTGCATGATCCGGAAAGGAAAATAAAAGGGAAAAAAACAAACAAGCAAACAAACAAGCAAACAAGAGGAGTTCGGTAAGCAAGGAAGGGGAGAGGAAGGGAGGGATTGGTGGAGAGACAAGTGCCAAAAAGGAGAGGAATAGAAAGCATAGCAGCAGAGTGTGGTGGAGAGGAGAGGATACGAGAGGAGATAATAGCTGACAATTGAAACGAAAAATTGGGAGAGGAAGAGGGGAAGTAGAACAGAGAAGGAAGGCGAGGAGAGGAACGGAGTGGAAAGAGGAGGAGCAGGGCAGCACCGTTATTACGGGACCTCCAGGTTTGATTGAGGCGCGTAAAAAATCAGAAGCAGAAAGAGGGGAGCACTTACAGCGCCTGAAGATTTGTCAGCAAGCGAATGCCAGTAGGGATAGAGCTGTTGAGGTGGTTATCATACATGGAGCTGTGGTTGCAAGAGGGGACATGAGTTGTAAAGGGTGAGAAGCATGCCTTTGAATGCCAAGCATAACACATGCCTAGGAGAGTTGGACCCATGCCTAGGAGAGTTGGACACATGCCTAGGAGAGTTGGACACATGCCTAGGAGAGTTGGACACATACCTAGGAGAGTTGAACCCATGCCTAGGAGAGTTGGACCCATGCCTAGGAGAGTTGGACCCATGCCTAGGAGAGTTGGACCCATGCCTAGGAGAGTTGGACCCATGCCTAGGAGAGTTGGACCCACCCATCCCTCCCGAGGGTCTTTTGAGTAGGCATAAAAAAGAGACCCATTCGTAGTGTCATCTACTAGTAGATGTGTGAGCCTTTGGATGCACGATTTGCATGTGTTATCTGTGGGTAGCTCCCACCCTCATGCCACGTCACATCAAAGACAGACATTTTTTAGGCGCCTAAAAAAAGCTCCCACCTTCATGGAAAGCCTACATTAGAGAGGCGACTCAAATGTAGACACCTGCCACGGTAAAGCCAGACAGGCATTGCACGCATTCTCACATCACTGTGTGTGTGTGCATGGCTCACAGGAACTTTAGATTTCTGCTTTTGGGTCGGCTCAGCTCAAAAGCAAAGCCAGATGGGCATGCATTGTATGCATTCTCACTTCACTCGTTGCGTGGCTCACAGGAGCTCTAGGTTTGTGAGCGCACTGAAGCCAGCAGGAATGCTCCCTGAAAGCTGGTTGATTGACAGATTGCTGGGGGGAAGCATGGGCGTCAGGCGGGAAAAGGACAGAATCGCAGCAAACTGAGAACTGCTGAGAGAGTGAGAGATTTCTGGGAGGAAGCACGCGTGTCAGGCGGCAAAAGAAAAGTTATTTGAGGCGCCTCAAAAGGAATAGCATGTGCGGCAAGAGAAAGGAGAGGCGAAGTTTGTATTCTTTCTCTTGCTGCACATGCTACCCTTCGCTTCTCAGGAGCATAACAGACTGAGAAGCGAAGAGGCGAACGATGAGAAGTTGAGAGGCGAAGAGAAGAGAACAAGCAAGACCAGACATAAAAAAGACGGAAAGAGAGGAAATGCAGGATTGGGCATGAGCAAAGAAGGACGAATAGAAGAGACGAAGAAAGACGGGGTAGGAGTGAGTTTACCAGAGGTACTTGCAACCTTCGAAATGAGTGTACATTTCAGAACAGTGAAATGCACAGAGCACAGAGTGCATAGGACAATACACAGTGACATGCACAAAGCATGGAGTGCATAGAATAAGCGGTGAAACGCAGGCAGCACAGGATGTGAAAAAAGAAAGAAAAAAAACCCCACTAACATCAGAGTAAGCAGAGCTAGGTTCCCAATGGATTCGGGAATGGGCCCCGTGAGGCGATTCTGTCGCAGCATGCTGTGCAGGTGAATGGGAGGGGGAAGAAAACAAGAAGAGACGTGGAGGGAGGCGAGGGGAGGCGTGGAGAGGGAATGAGAGGAGAGGAGAGGAGAGAAGAGAAGTGGTGTCGTGATTCTGGGTCTTTGTTGGGGGAAGGCTTTCTTTGCTGTGGTGAGAGAGAGTGACACGCAGCTGAAGGTGGTTGCGTGTGCGTTTCTGAAACCACTGCTGCCCTTCTGCTGTGAGCGACGAAGACGCTTCTCTTCTGTGGTGAGAGAGAGTGACATGTAGCAGGAGATGACTTTTTAGACGACCCAAAAGCCTTACATGTAGCAGGAAGTGACTTTTGAGTCGACTCAAAAGTCAGCTCGCTACTATGAGCGATGAAGGCCCTTCTCTGCTGTGGTGAGAGAGAGTGACATTTAGCAGGAGATGTCTTTTTAGACGACCCAAAAGCGTTACATGTAGCAGGAGGTGGGGGAGGAAGGTGGGGGGGAAGGTGGGGGCGGACGGTGGGGGAGGAAGGTGGGGGGGGAAGGTGGGGGCGGACAGTGGGGGAGGAAGGTGGGGGAGGGGAGGAAAGTGGGGAAGAAACTCCATGAGAAAGGCAGAGGCGAAGGTGGGTAGCAGGTGTGGCAAGAGGGGTAAGAGAGGACAGAGAACAGGCTAGGAGCTCTTCATGGGATGATGAGCCCATATGGGATTGATACAATAAGGTGATTTTCTATTGGGTACACCCATATGAGCGCATGCACATGAGCAAGCAAGCACATCTAGGTATATGCACGTACAAATGCACATGTGTATATACATGCATAGAATTCGTGCTATAAAAGAGCTGAACTTATTGCTATGCTCCCACATTGTCACATGCATGCATTTATGTTTCGTGCCTTCGATATGTGGTTCGAGCGCTATAAATGCAATACGGCTCAAACTACAGGAACACTGTATAGCTTATGGTCAAATACCATATGTCTCGTCACGTAATACATATAGATTACAAATTAAGGCTAGGTTCCTTGCACGTTGGGTAGGCACACTTAGATTGCATGTTATATCAATTCAGCTCGATCGTTGATGCTTGGAGGGCAAATATGCATGTGTGCATGTGTGCATGTGTGCATGTGTGCATGTGTCATCGCCATTGATTGTACATGCTGAATAGATGTGTGATGTGAGACACCTGTCTCTCCCGCCTTCAAGCCACATGAGGTGCATGCAAGCTGACGAGGCATGCACTTTCTGTTGTGTGCTCTTACTAGGTGATTCCATCAGCCCACAGATACTTCAGTTGATGGGGCTCACAGGGTATTCAGTTGACTGAGGGCACTGAAGCTAGCGGGGATGCTGCCTGAGAGCTGGTTTCCTGCCAGATCGCTGCGAGGAAACGATGCAAGGGAGCAGGGGACTGACGGGGTCAACGGCGGTCAATGGCGGTCAACAGCAGTCAACGTCGGTCAGGACTCAGGAGAGTCAGAGGTTGACTTCTGAAGCTCGCAAGGATGCTGCCTGGGAACTGGTTTTGAGGCTTTTTTAGGCGCCTAAGAAATGCTGCCTGAGAGCTGGTTCTCTGCTAGATCGCTGCGAGGAACACATGCAAGGTAAAGCAAGTGAGCAAGTGAGCAAGTGAGCAAGGTAATGCAAGGGAGCAGGGGAACGAGACGACGATAAGCAGAATCCGCTTTTGAGTTGACTCAAAAGTAGCAGTGGAGTGGCTGAGTGGTGGGTAGTAGAGAGACGAGAAGAGCGAAAGATCGGAGAAAAACAAGAGAAGGGATGAGAAGAAAAGAAAGGAAAAGAGGAGAAACGAAGTGAGGAGAGGAGAGGAGAAGAGAGGAGAGGAGAAAAAGCGAGAAGTGACAATATGAGACGTGTTGACATAAGAGAAGACATGAGAGAAGAGAGAAGGGGGAGAGGGAGGAGAGATAGGGGAGGGGAGAGGAGGGAATAGTAGAAGAAAAGAAGTGAAGAGAAGAGGAGTGAAGAGAGAGGAGGGTGGGTGTCAAACCGGAAGGAAATGACACTCCATGTTACAGAAATGCCATGGAAGGAAAAAGACAAGGGAAATGAGGCAAAAGATTACAAACTCTCACAAGAGCCTAAGAAATCCCTTCAAACTCAAAGCCAGAAGCGAATGTGCGGGCTTTTGAGTCGACTCAGGAGAATGTGCGGGGCATACGATGGTGGACTTCCGAGAAACCAGCGTGCAGTGCAGCAAGTCAGAATACACACTTCTTCAAATCTTTGACCTTTGATGGAAAATGCAGCCGATACACAACCCAGCACTGACACACACACACACACACACACACACACACACACACGCGCGCGCGCGCGCGCGGGCGCAACGTAACACACGCAGTGGAGAGTCGCTGAACTCTGAACCCCGCTAAACCCAAAACCTGAAAACCCCTCTTCCGTCTCCGAGCCCCACATGAGTGTAAGAAGTGCCAAGCTGCCCAGGGTGTCTGGAAGGGGGCCCGTGAGCTGATTCTGTGGCAGCGCGCTGGGGGGTTGAGGGGGGGTTGGGGGGGGGGGAGGGGAAGGAGGGCAGGCAGGTGAGGAGGGCGAGTAGGTGGGGTGGCACTGCACATGAGCAATGAGGCGAGGATTTCCTCGCCTCGAAAATCCTCGCCTCGAAATTCCGGGGGTCGAGGCCGGATTTCAGGAAATAATCCTCGCGAGGATTCCTCGCCCCGCCTCGGCGAGGATTCGAGGCCTCGACATTTCCTCGAGGCAAATGGGCAAGGATTTTGTATCCTCGCGAGGAAAAAATCCTCGCGAGGAATTTTTTTCCTCGCGAGGATTTTTTCCTCGCGTCATTTGGGTGCCAGCGCGCCTGGAGGCGCGCTGGTACAAACTCAAATTTTGAAAGTAAGCTGATTCATTATTTCTGGATCAGCCAAGTTCTGTTATTTCGTATTAGGCTTACCTATAGCCTCGCTGGTCCCATTTCGCCCAATGCCACCGTTCTAAACAGCTTAAACAAATACCAACGGGTGGGGTAAAAGGACCCCCGCTGTAGGAGGGGGGGGAGAGTAAAACGCATTGTCGATTGCACGGCGTTTTTAGGACGGACGACTAGCATTGGCGGCGGTGGGGCTGCCATTAGGGATAGACGTCCTAAACTAAGAACAGTAGCGGTTCTTAGAGTGCCGAGCCCGCTGATAGCATGGGCCGCACTCCACGTGGTGGAGGTGGTGGGAGAAGGGGCCGCGGTAATGGTGCCCGCGGTGGCCAAGGGAGAGGCGGCAGGGGAAGAGGACAAGATGGCGAGGAGGAAACTCGCGCAATGACGGCGACCGAGGCGAGGCACTTTAAGGCCATCGCAGCCGCGGCCGAGGCGAAGAAGGTGGGTGAGGCCGCGCGCGAGAACGCTGGGGGGAAGGGCAACGGTGCAGGGCGCGGTGATGGGCGCGGTGACCATAAGGGGAGAGCAAGGGGGGGAGGCGGCCAGCATGCGGGCGAGGGAGAGGAAGAGGATGAGGAGGAGGAGGAGGAGGAGGAGGAGGAGGAGGTGGAAGAGGCGGAGGAGGAGGGCAAAGAGGAAGAGGAGGAGAAGAAGGAGCACGAGGGGGGAGAAGGCGAGGAGCTCGAGCGTGAGGAGGGTATGGGGAGGTGGAGGGCCGAGGGCTTGCGCGAGGAAGGAGTGGGGGAGGAGGAGGAGGGGGAGGGGGAGGGGGTGGGGGAGGAGGATGAGGACGAGTGGGGGGAGGAGGAGGGGGTGGAGGAGCACGAGGAGAGCTCCGGCGACAACTCCGAAGAACAGATGTACGATGGAGGGGAGGGGGAACCCGCCGAGCATGACGAGGACATGGCGGACCTTGTGGCGGAGGGTGCGGACTCGGTGGTTGGTGCCGTTGGGTGGGGGGGCATAGGCCATGGAGAAGCTGGGGGGTCGGTCAGCAAGGCTGTGCTGAAGGCCATTAAAAAGGAAAAGGGTGAGGGCAGCGGTAGGGGAAAGAAGGTACAAGGCTCAGCTGGGAAAGGCAGGGAAGTACAGGCCCCGAGGGGGGCAGGAGGGGGGAGGAGTGACGGAGGAAAGGGGAACACAGGCGGGGGAGGAGGGAGGACTAGAGAAGGGGGAGGGGGGCGGACTGGCGGGGGAAGGGGGAGGGCTGGCAGCGGGGGAGGCGGGGGGACTGACGGCAGTGGGGCAGTGGAGGAGGGGGGAGAGGGGGGAACTGGGAACAAGAAGGCAGGGAAGCCTGTGAAAGGAGACGGCATGGCGGCGAGATGCTTTGAGCGTCAGTCCGGGCTTGGGAACAAACGGCGTTGCAGGAAGTGCACACTGGGCGGCACACTGTGGGCCGTGATTGCATCCGTCTAGGGGATCTGGCGCGCGCGGTTCTCAAGGACGAGCTCTCACCGTCCAGAGGCGTGGGCAAGGTCAGCTTGACCACAGACATCTGGACGGGTGAGAACAACCGTGGTTACATGGCGGTTACAGCCCACTGGCTGACGGCAGAGTTCGAGCTCCGCCAGGGACTGCTGGAGTTCATAGCACTACCGCCAAGCCACACGGCGTCTGTAGTGGCTCAGGTGCTGGAGGCGGTGGTGCGGGATTGGGGGCTGACCGGGCGTTGCATGGCTGTGACTACCGATAACGCCGCCACCAACACCGCGGCCATGAGGTGGCTGTCCCGCGGCGAGATCGGCGACAGGGTCCCGCCGCTCTTCCAGACCGGGCTCCACATCCGGTGAGTGTTAACTGCTTTTGTCGCTGGAGTGGAGGCCCAACCTTGCTCACAAGCAACCGAATGCACAGAGCCTGCATGTGCAGTGCAAGCTATCCCATCCCATGCAATGCCACAAGCCACCTACCACGCCATGGCATGCCGTGCCCTGCCACATGCCGCATGTCATGCCATGCCACATGCCATGTGCCGCATGCCATGCCATGCCACATGCCATGCCACATGCCGCATGCCATGACCTGTCACATGCCGCATGCCATCCCATGCCACATGCCGTGCCATGCCACATGCATGCAGCATGCGACATGCCATGCCACCGTGCCATATGCCACTGCTAACCCAAGCATGCCCTCCGCACATCCCCCCTGTCCCTCCACCAGTTGCCTCGCCCACATCTGCAACATTTCTTTACAGCAAGCGTTGAAGAAGGTGGAGGCTCTGAAGCTGCCGCTGGGGCTGCTGCGTGAGAACGCCAGCTTCATCGGCTATTCCACCAAGCAGACCCCGCTGTTCGAGGACGAACAGCGGCGCCTTTTCCCTGACAAGCCGGTCGTGAAATTGAAGCAGGATATGGAGGTGCGCTGGGGATCGACCTACCAGATGGTCGTGCGTGGGATCCGACTGCGCGATGCTCTTGACTCCTTTGCGCGTCGCTTCCCGGTGAGTCCTTTGGTCTTGTTGAATCCCATCTGTGTGTGACAGTGTTATTGCCCTCGTCCCCACCCCACTTGACACATCCCGCCACTCACCATTGTACATCCCCCCCCCCATGCTTCCCAACACCAACTTCAGCCACCCACCCATCCACGCTCTCATGTTTTCAACCCTAAAACCTCCTACTCCCAACTCCAACATCAGGAGGCTCGCCAGGCCCAGCTTCGCATCTCGCCCGAGCAGTGGGCCGTGCTTGAGGAAATTGCAGTTTTCCTCAAGCCTTTCAACTTGGTGACGCTGGCGGCGGAGGGGGGGCACTATCCCACTGTTAGCCGGGTTGTGCCGCAGTACAACGAGCTGATGGACAAGCTCGAGCGTGTGCTGCACTGTGTGGATCCCCCCCCCTCTGCGTTCATCCGTGCGTGCTGCGAGGTGGCACTCCCCAAGCTGGAGGAGTACTACTCCTCCAGCAGCGACGAGCTATGCGTGGCCACTTTCCTCGACCCGACAATGAAGCTCGGGTACTTCGCCAAGCCACGCGGCGAGATGTCGACGAGGGTGGTAGAGCAGGTCGCCCTCGAGGCAGTCGTCACTCTCGTGCGCAGAAAGTGGCAGCCGTACATGGACAAGGTGCGCGCGGCGGAGGCGGTGGCGGCGGGGCTGGGGGGAGAGGATGGGGCTGACGGTGGTGGGGGAGGGGACGAGGGGGATGCTGCCATGGGGGCTGCCTTTGGGGGGGATGACGACGAGGATAGCCTGGTGAGGCACCTGGCTGCCTACCGCAGCAAGCAGTCCCAGGAGCAGAAGGATGAGATTCAGGTGTACCTCGATGAGCCGATCCTCCCCATGCGTGCTTCGCCGCTTGCGTACTGGCGACGCAGGGTCGATCTGCCAGCCTTGCAGGCGATGGCCAGGGACTACCTAGCCATCCCCGCCACCTCTGCGGCTAGCGAGCGGATGTTCTCGCAGGGCCGCAACCTCATCACATGGCAGCGGCATCGCCTTGGCGCAGAGCGGGTGCGCGCATGCATGACCCTCAAGTCATGGATCGCGACGCACCCGGGGGAAAGGCTGGGTGGTTTGGCAGCGCAAGCGCTGACGGAGTTGGGATTGGAGCTCGAGGAGGGAATGTGAACGGGGACAGCTCGTTGTGCTTTGACATCTATTGCCCGTGTGACTTGCTCTATTTATTTGCATGCTTATGGTGGTAGGTGGTGGTGATGGACCTAGCAAAAAGCTGTATGGCCATCCATCCAGCCATGATGGCACGGTGAGGCAAGGGTGGGCAGTTGTGGTTGGTTGTGGCTTTGTCACGGGCAGCGCTGAACCTGGCAGTGGCATGAGATGTGCGGGACGTGTCACCATGTTTAGACAAGTTGGCTACTTTTGGTGTGTGCGGGTGGACAAAGCAATAAGCTTATTGGCCATCGGCATTGTACTGGTAATAGAGGGAGGGCTGCGATTTCATTCCACCTAGGCGAAGCACATAAACGGCAGTGCTATGGATTGAGTGTAGTCAATTACACTCAGCAGGTGGGTAACTAAAGAGCCCTAACCCATAGCATGGCAGGGAAATGTTGCCTTTTAACACGTCGGTGAGGAGTGGAAGAGAGCTTTCCATGAAACCAGGATATGGCTCATTCTTCCCTGCACATGTTCCCATTACCCCTCCCCCCCATAACCCCCCAGCCGCCCAAGTCAAGGAATCCTCGCCCCGGGTCAAGGAATTAATCCTCGAGGCGAGGAATTCAATCCTCGACCCCCAAAACCCGGGGGTCGAGGGGGGATTTTCAAGAAAAATCCTCGGCGAGGATTCCTCGACCCGCCCCGGCTAGGGCGCGAGGATGAGATCCTCGGGTCAAGGAATCCTCGCCTCGCCCCGTGCTCATGTCAAGGTGGCAGGCAGGCAGGTGAAGGGATTTGATTTGAGACGTCTACAAGGACCTCCCCATGGCAGCGGTAAGAGGGGCCGTGAGCTGATTCCGTTCCGTGGCACCGAGCTGGGGAGGAGAGGAGGGCATGCAGCGCCGGATGGGGGAGAGGGGGCCGGCAGGGGGAGAGTGGGCCGGCAGGGGGAGAGTGGACCGGCAGGGGGAGAGTGGGCCGGCAGGGGGAGAGTGGACCGGCAGGGGGAGAGTGGGCCGGCAGGGGGGGGGAAGGGAGAGACGCAGGTGTTGGAATATAACACAGTTTCGCTCCTCGCAGGTGAGAGGAGCACGAGCGAGTAAGAGAGGGAGAGGGTGGGGTGGCGGGATTGAAGGAGCAAAAGGACGAGAGCGCATGGGCCGATGGGGACTAGAGATGGTGCAGAGGGGCGAGGGAATGAAAAAGGGCAAGGCAGTTGGCAGGGCATACGTGGAACATGAGTTTTTTAAGATTCTCAGGAATCTCTCACATGGACGTGCAGCATGCTTAAGTTCCTGAGGTTGCTGATGGAGTGGGGAATGAGTCCTCCCAGCTATTGAGTCGGCTCAAAAAGCAGTGTATGATGGGGAGTGTTTGAGAGAGCATGGCGGGACATACAGCATGCTTAAGTTCCTGAGGTTGCTGATGGACTGGGGAATGGGTCCTCCCAGATTTTCAAAAAGTAGCATCCTGCAATGACATCACCATCACGAGTAACATTGTGAAGAGGCTAACTAGGTGCTAGGAGTTTTTGAGAGAGAAAATATTGGATTACCCAAGAAGCAAGGGATACAAGTAGAATGAAGAGAGGGTTCGGAGGGAAGGCCCAACCACCAACCTGGTTAATAGCCAGTTCAACAAGGTGGGTGGTGGTGGGAGTGGCGTCAACCTAAATTGGAACTCACCCAAACTTCATTGAGCTGGCCAACTCATGGTGAACCAACCCAACCCAACAACATTGAGTGATCTCTAGACAGGGTATACTCTAGCTATCTACCCTACACACTAGAGCAAGCAGGCCATTCTCTAATTAACACCACCATCACCATCACCATTGCCATCACCATCACCATCGCCATCACCATCACCATTGCCATCACCGTCACCATCGCCATCGCCATCACCATCGCCATCACCATCGCCATCACCATCGCCATCACCATCACCATCACTATCGCCATCACCATCGCCATCACCATCGCCATCACCATCACCATCGCCATCACCATCGCCATCACCATCACCATCGCCATCACCATCGCCATCACCATTGCCATCGCCATCACCATCACCATCGCCATCACCATCACCATCGCCATCACCATCACCATCACCATCGCCATCGCCATCACCATCACCATTGCCATCACCGTCACCATCGCCATCGCCATCACCATCGCCATCACCATCACCATCGCCATCACCATCACCATCACCATCGCCATCACCATTGCCATCACCATCGCCATCACCATTGCCATCACCATCGCCATCACCATCACCATCACCATTGCCATCACCATCGCCATCACCATTGCCATCGCCATCACCATCACCATCGCCATCACCATCACCATCACCATCGCCATCACCATCACCATCACCATCGCCATCACCATTGCCATCACCATCACCATCACCATCACCATCACGGTCACCCATCACCATCACCGACCCCATCACCCATCGCCCTTCTCCCAAGCGCCCATCTCACAGGCTGACGATCATGCCGCTCTCGTCGCAGGTGACGCCCAGGATAGAGCTGCAGTCAGGACGAGGCCCACTCCTCCAGAACAGCGTCAGCCTCCAGGCCGCCTGGCAGTCCGCCAGGAATTGCGCTGCAGGTGGTGGGGCAGCGGGGGTAGATGGATGGAGGCGTTTTTGAGACCAAAAGTGCAGATTTGTGGGTTTGAAAAATACTCCGCAGAATCTACTGTGAGTCTGCAGAATCTCCTCTGAGTCTGCAGAATCTCCTCTGAGTCTGCAAAATCTCCTCTGAGTCTGCAGAATCTCCTCTGAGTCTGCAGAATCTCCTCTGAGTCTGCAGAATCTCCTTTTCCAGCAGTCGATCCGTCATCACTGCCCTGCACTGCGTGCTATGGGGGAGGTGCGAGTGGGAGTGGGTGTTTTTTTAGTCGACTAAAAAACCATGAGTGGGAGTGGGGCAGCAAATGGGAATGCGCACCGCGTTGACCAGGAGTGGTTCTGTGGTCACATGGACCAATCAAGTGATTTTGAAAGTACTGTTCCACCTGGACGAATTTTGCGGCTCAAAAATATCCCCCCCATGATAGCGTTCTTCCCCCTCTGGACATGGGTGTTAAGGCTGGCTCCTCACACCACTGCCCCACTCAGCCACTTCGTGTCGCTGAATGAATAGAGTGAACGTGTGACAAGAAGTCCCGAAGAAGCCTTCGAACACGAGGTGACTTTTGAGTCGACTCGAAAGCCATTTTGCCATGACTGCACTGCACGCACGTGGGGTCATTTTTTTGAACTCTCAAAAATGACTCCATTGTTGCCATTGACTGCACGCACGTGGGGTCATTTTCCAAAACTCTCAAAAATGACTCCACGGTCGCCATGACTGCACTGCACGCACGCACAACACAAAGACAGTGGCCAGGCCACCATTGCCCCGGCCGCTGATGTGGCTGTATGGACGGAGGAGGGATAAGTCTCTGGCAATCTCTGGCTGTGAACGTTCGGAGGAAAGCTTCTAAATACGTTGGAGGGATCTCTTTGGCGCCTTCACAGCAAGTTGATAGAGGGATGCATCACCGACAAAGATCATGAAAATCCAGGGTCGTCCCAACCCAACCCCACAATTCGGCAAGCATGGATCTCTTAAACACAGAAAAACTGGGAACACTGGAAGGAACACTGGAAGGAACCCTGGGAGGAACACTGGGAGGAACCCTGGGAGGAACACTGGGAGGAACACTGGGAGGAACCCTGGGAGGAACCCTGGGAGGAACACTGGGAGGAACCCTGGGAGGAACACTGGGAGGAACACTGGGAGGAACCCTGGGAGGAACCCTGGGAGGAACACTGGGAGGAACCCTGGGAGGAACACTGGGAGGAACACTGGGAGGAACCCTGGGAGGAACACTGGGAGGAACCCTGGGAGGAACACTGGGGTATGTAGCGGGTGGGGAGGACTCAGCGGTCCCCACCGGACCTGATGACTCTCTCAGCTTGAAGCCACGTCTTGAATCTAAGCCAGCATGCTACCATCAGAGGTGCAGGCAGATGATCTCGGCCTAGAAACCAGCTTGAGGCCAGATTTTGTGACAGCGAAGCGACTGTGACAGCGAAGAAGCTGTCACAACATTTGGCTGTCCGTCACAACATTTGGCTGTCCGTCACAGTCGAACGAAAGGCAATCACTCTCCAGGAGATTCTCCTGCAGCAGCAAATAGTCTGGAGATCCCGTTGCGACTGTGACAGCGAAGAAGCTGTCACAACATTTGGCTGTCCGTCACAGTCGAATGAAAGGCAATCACTCTCCAGGAGAGTCTCCTGCAGCAGCAAATAGTCTGGAGATCCCGTTCCCGCTCCCGCTGCCGCTCTCATTCTTGCATGCGCCACTAATCCTGCGGTTCAGCTCAGGTGTGTTTCACAGTAGGTGTTGTTCTTCTAACACGCGAGGTTCAGCAAGCAGCCGCACCTACTAAGTTGCGTGCCGCACTGAGTCACTGACCGTGCGTGCCGCACTGACCTTCGCGTGGACTCCAGTGGCGCGGCGTTCCCATAATGATTTTGAGTTTAAGATAGGCAGAGCTGTCTCAATGTCGGTCTCAGCAAGTGGCTTGCTGCGATCATCTAATCTAATCTACTCAAGCAACACCTGACCAACCTTGCGTGGACTCCAGTGGCACGGCGTTGACCGTCGCGAGGGGCAAAAGATGAAGGCTGGTGGTGGCGAGCCGGCATGCGGCGACCCATGCGAGCAATGCGAGCGGCCGCGTCCGCGCGTACGGGACCCCGCGGCGGTACAGCGCTACTGCGCTGCTCCGCCGGCCACGCTGTACGAGGCTGCGCTCCGCCGCCGCCACCGCCGCCGTCGGCGCAGGGGCCGCCCACGACTCCGAGTGGGAATCGGCGTCGGAGCGCATCCTCGTTGAAGGTACCATCGTTCCGAAAATTCGGCTCCCAAGCCTCGTGATTTGAACGTTAGACTAGAAAGTTCGAGCCGACATTCAGAACGAGGGACGGACAAGCGGCCGCGGCATTTAGACTTGAAACACTCTCACTAGTAGGCTCCTCGACTCCTCTTATAGGCCGCGGCATATAGACTTGAATGCCACTATAGCTTCCGATAGACTCTTAGAACATTCAACCAAAGCTTATGATAATGGTTATCATGTGACTACGTTGCGTGGTACTTTACAAGTATCAGCCGCTACCTAGAAATCCATGTTTATTAGGGTCTTGCATCCTTTCAACATCTTATACACTTACATCGGGTGCGCGATAACCAAACGGTTTGTCCACGTTAGCAAAAATTTAGGGTTACGCAACGGCAGGCTTACGCACTTAAAAAGGGTCAACTTATACATATGCATTATGTGTAGAAATTGTAGGCTAGACAGGGTTGTGTTCTTAGAGGGTACAACACCAATCATATATCACTCACGTACTGCCTTGTTTCTAGTCACTTCGTTACTCTGAGATGGTATCAGACTAGGTAGGTCCCACCCACCTACGCTTCCGCCCTAGCCTACCGTAGAGCGGCGCCCCTAGCCCTAGCCTGCCGCGCAGCATCGACCCTCAGCTCGTCGTGCCGCGCTGGCCCAGCCCACCGCGTCGGCCCCTTCCTACCGCGCTGCCCTAGCTTGCCACGACGGCCGATCTTGCGTCCTTCCCCGCTGTAGCTGATCTTGCCACCCATCTGCGTGCTCTTGAAACTAGCTACCGTGCTACTAGCACTGAGTCCCACCTCACTGTACTGCCTCCCCCCCTCGGCGCTACCCTTTTCTTTCTAGCCACGCGCCTTCCCGACCGCCTAGCCACTGCCCGCGACGCCTTCCTTAGTCTTCACCCGGCGGACCTCACCCTAACTGAATTTGTCACCACCCTGTCTACGATAGAGACCCGCCAGCGCACTATCGCTTAGTCTAGCGGTACCGCGGCGGTCCTTCCCAGTGCACTTATTCTGACGTTTCTGCCGCTGTTGCTGAGACAGTCCCTGCCGCTCAGATCGCCGTGGCGGCCTCCGCGCAGCCTCGTTAGGGTAAGGGACGCTGTCCCAGAGCGGGCGGGGGGGAGGGAGGGGTGTTGGGGGTGGCGGGGGTGGCGGGGTCGGTAGGGGCGGTGCGAGCGCGGGCGGTGCGAGCGCGGGCGGTGCAGACGAGGGGGCGGGGGCTGACGCCCTTGAGCAGCAGCAGCAGCAGCGGCGGCGGCGGCAGCAGCTGTGGCGACCCCTCCCGTCGGGGTGGCCAAGCGGCTTTGGTGGTGGTCGTCGTAGTGGCGGCCCTCGCAGCTCAACGTCGAGCGGCGACTTCAGCCCTATGAGTTGCCAGTACCAGCTCCAGTCTGGTCCCCTTTGTGGCACCGTGCGTGGCCGTCCTGGTCACACCGCCGCCCGCTGTTTCCGCCGCCTCGACGACCTTTCTCACCTCCGCTTCGGACCCACGACTGACCTCCCACAATGGTTCAGCCTGGTACGTAGTCGTGTGACGGTCTTTAACATGGATATGGATCAAATTAGCTCTACTCTTTGTATGCCATGTATGCAGATGAATCTAGTGTTACTGGACCCTATTACCTTGTGTTACCCTGTGTTCGCTGTGTGTAGTCAAGGCTCCCCTGCTGCGTCAGGCATAGGCCCTCCTGCCTAGTTTAGCCTTGGATCCACGCTAATGCCCGCGCCGGCTGACGCTACCGCCGCGCTCTCCTTCACATTGGACTCTGCTGCGTCCACATGCTTCTTTCGCGACCACACCGCTCTCACGCCACTTTCAGCCCCCGCTACAGTTGCCCTTGCCAAACCCTTTTCCGGTCCGGTAGTTGCACGTAGCTCCACCACCCTCCCTTGTCCAGCGGTTCCTTCATGCTGCCTTACAGGTTTGCACATCCCCTCGTTCTCCAGGAACCTAGTTGGTGTCGGCTATCTTCAGGACCTCGGTGTCATCACTACATTTCCTAGGCACGAGCGATATGCAGTCTGCCACTAGTTCCCCCCTCACCACGTTCCCCCGGGACCCGATGTGTGGCCTGTTCGCACTGGACACCGCTTTCCCCCGGTGGCTGTGTTCCCCCACGTGGCTGTGTCTACCTAGGTCATTGCAGCTTGCTCAATTCGGCCATTCAATCACCCGTCGTTGCTGTGGCACCACCGCCTAGGTCACCCCACCCTCCCGTATCTCCGTCACATGTCCCAGCATGGTCTTGTCTTAGGTCTCCATGCGTTGCTTCCTGCCCTCCCTCCCTTGCATGTGCCTTCGTGCACGCCTTGCATCGAGGGCCGGCTGCGCCGTGCTCCTTACTCCTCGTTTCCCCCCACCACTACGCCACTCCAGACCCTGCACTTGGACATGTGAGGCCCTGTCCTTGGGCCCTGTCACGAGCGCTACTTTCTAGTTCTCTTAGATGACTACTCACGCTACACCACGGTGTTTCCCCTGGAGCAGAAGGCCGACGTGCCTGCTCGAGTACACCGCGCCCAGCCCGTACTGCGTCTCCACTTCGACCGTGGTAGTGACTTCACCTCCGGTCAGCTTGGCCAGTTCTGTCGTGCGGAGGGCATCACCCAGACGTTACACCCTGCTGGACTCCCCACAACAGAATGGGGTCATTGAGCGACGCATCGGTTTGGTCATGGAGGTGGCTCGTACCTCCATGATACATGCCTGTGCATCCCATTTTCTGTGGCCGTTCACCGTTCGCTACGCTTCTCACCAGCTTAACATGTGGCCGTACTCCCCGCAGCCGCAGGTTTCGCCGACCCTCCTCTAGACCGGGTCCCCCGGTGACGCGTCTGCGTTCCACGTCTGGGGCTGCCTAGCTCACGTTCGTGACTCTCTCACAAATAAGCTCACTGTCCACACCGTCTCTTGTGTCTTTTGTGGCTTCCCCCGCCGTCTCACCGCTTCTTTCACTCGCATGACGTCACCTTTGATGAGTCTGTGTCCTTCTACACCCGCATTCCCCACCGAGGTTTCCGGGTTACCCAACCCTTGTTCCTTGTCCCCGGTAGCTCTTGCTCCCCATCGTGCCCCGTCTGGTGTGTCTCACGTCACTCCCCTTCCCTCGGTTGGTCTGGCGGAGGATTCTGCTAACTTTGGGGCCTCGAGGCTCAGGGTCTGTCGCATGTTTCTGCGGTGCCTGCACCCTCGGCCCCAGGGTCTCCTTCGCCGCCGCATTAGTAGTCGCCGCCGCAGCAGCAGTCGTCGCCGCCACAGCAGTAGCTGCTGCAGCCGCTGCCGCCGTTACCGTCGAAGCAGCAGGGGTCCGTGAGCTCTAGGGGTGCTGGAGCTGGGGGTGTGGGCGGTGAGGAGGGTCCTCATTCTGGGGGTGCTGGTGCTGGGGGTGCTTGTTCTAGGGGTGCTAGTCCTGGGGTTGCTGTAGTAGCGAGCCCTAGAGGTAGCCATGGTGTGGGCGCGGAGCAGCAGCAGCAGTCGCCACCGGTGTCCGCCCTTACGACACCTCGGTCTTCCCTCCCCAGACTGTCCGCCCGTGCCTCCCCCAGTGCTGCCTCCTCTGCCTGTCTACGACCCTGTGTTTCCTTCACCGGACTCGTCCCTGGCTCATTTCCCCCTTCGTTCTCCTCATGTATCTCCGCCGTCGTCTCCTGACCTGACTCCTCCCTCGCATTGGAGGTCTCACCGTGTGCCTCATGCTCAACATGTCTTTCCTGTTTTGCACTCCCACCCTATGTTGCTCCGGTCTCACACGTCTCATGCTCCTCCCGCTCCTCCTCTCCTGTTGCCTCCTCAGTTGTCGCTTGTTGTCTCTCCGCCTCCTCTCTCTGACTTCCTCCATACAGCTAGTCCGCTCATTCCTCGCGTTCTCGCCTCTCTTGTTACCGACCGGTCCGTTCCTGTCTCCAGTCTCTTGGCTCTTGTCGCTGCCGTTGCTGAATTTGCCGCTACCTGCCGCCTTGACTGTGCCAATACTCTTGTCTCTGACCCTGCGCATCCTCCGTCTGTCCGGTGTGCACCTGCCTTTAGCAGTGACGTCATAGAGGATAGGCAGTATGAGCTAGCTTTCCTATACGAGGCCGCTCGTTATCTCTGCTCCACGCTGCTTGCCCCGAAGTATGACCCAGACGCTCTTGACATCCTGACCTCTTGCACCTATACTGAGGCAACTTCAGGACCCTGGGCCTCTCAGTCGATAGCTGCCATGGGCGCAGAGATGGCATCTTGGAGATCCACCGGCACCTACGTCGACGAAGTTGCCCGACTGTAGGCGAACGTAGTCAATGGCTGGTGGCTCTTCAAGGTGAAGCGCCCTCTTGGAGAGCCGCCGGTGTTCAAGGCGTGCTACGTTGCTAGAGGCTTCAGTCAGCGCGAGGGCTTTTACTTCTTCCAGACCTTCGCCCCAACCTCGAAGATGACTACGCTTTGGGCGCTGCATCATGTAGCAGCACAGCGCGACTACGAGCTTCTCTCGCTGGACTTCTCCACAGCGTTCCTCCAGGGTAATCTGCACAAGCAGATATACATGTGACGTTCGCTAGGCTTCATCGGCACCTTCCCTCCTATAACCGAGTGGTTCTTTCGGCGCCCGGTTTACGGCCTGCAGCAGGTGCCCCATAAGTGGCAAAACACGCTTCGTGCTACATTAGCAGACCTGGAGTTCTTCATGTCCTCTGCTGGCTCATCACTCTTCGTTCGCTCAGGCCAGACTCCGGTCTACATCGTAGTCTTTGTAGATGACCTGGTCTTTGCTACTACAGACAGAGATGCACTGGCCTCGGTGAAGGTTGAGCTACTGAAGAAACACACGTACACTGGCCTAGGAGAGTCGCGCCTCTACCTTGGCCTGCAGATCTCCAGGGACAGAGTAGCGTGCACCATCACTCTCATGCACTCACACTCGGTGCACCAAGTCCTTCAAAGCTTCGGTCTTCAGTTCTCCTTCGCACAGCCCACCCCTCTGCTAGTGGATCAGAGGCTCTCGGCTCTAATCGCTGACGAGCCAGCTGAGCCCAGTGGTCAGTACGCAGAGCTTGTGGGCTGCCTCATGTACTGTAC